GAGCTCACATAGCCAAGACACAAACGTCATTGTATCTCACATTCAGGTGATTCCATTTCTTACAATTTTTTGGTATAAAAAATTAAATGTGGTATACATGTACATGTAATCCCTGTCCCTACACATTCACATGTCCTCACCAATGGTCATCTCACTCTTTTTGATGTAAAAAAAAATTTTGTTACTGCAATGTTGTTCCAAATTAATCCAGTGTAAAGGTAATTCTGTCCAACCCACCTTGTGCATGCATTCCCACAACTCGGTCACAACCTGATACATGTGTTGGGGTGGCACAATACAATTGTTGCCTACTGTGTAAGGGCCCATGGTGTTTTGTATGTAACCCAAAGGGGAAAATAGCAACCAAGGCAAAGCAGATGCCATTTGGACCCGAGGGTGTACAAATCTACCGGTATAGACCCTGTCACAGCAGGCAACATTGTAATGTTATAACCTGGTAATAGATTTCACAAATGCAAGGGAGGAAGCGAAGTAAAATACCGTACATGTACATTCAAAATCCCAGCAAAAAACGTTTTGTGAGTTTATTTTTAACTGGCACCTGTACACGTTTGTAATTCACTGATTTACTTTCTGATTTATTCTTTTCAATGTCACCAAAAGGTACATGTACATTTGAGACCCCAAAATTATAGTCAGGCACCCTTTTGGTACATGTACATCTGGAATAAAAAGGAATATAGACACTGGACACGCACAATTTACAATGCATTTGCACAGTAGACCTCTAAAATTCCCCAAAACTAGACTGAATTTTCCAACCTTGACCCAAGACAAGCACTGACGCACAAGTGGCACACAATCATGACAATGATTTCTTCTAAAATGTACATCACATATATGGCCAGTTCAACAGTGTCTGGCGTACATTTTGGACACTTCAACAGTGTGTTATTATACTTATAATCCTGAAGCAAATTTTGATTTTGATAAAAGACATCAGCTAGTTGGTACATTAATTTAATAACAAAATTTATTATTTATTATTATAAGGGAACAAATTCTACTTTTTCAAAACAACTTATCTAAACAAGTTGTTGGTGATGTCCTCTTTCATATCAGAGAGAATAGAGAACAGTGCTTTTGGTTTGAAAGGGAAATTTTGGGTAAAAACGGCAGTGTACATGACCTCTCCAAAGACAGTTGTGATCGACAAATAAGCGAATTGTTCATGTAGTCTGGTTCCTTGACTTGGATGGAGATTTATTTTTATGAATCCCAAATGCCTGAGTCAGGTAACCAGATGAAAAACAAAATGGCGTGATTGGACTAAGTGGTTGTCTTTTGCCAAACTCGTGTTTGAAATTTGACGTTTTCTTGCTTAAATATTGTCAAAATTTACCTAAACTGGGCATATCAGAATTGAGTAATGGTTCCTTAAGGTCGAAATGTTAGTTAGTTTGAGAAAGTGGACTTTGTTTCCTTATTATAGGAACAGGGTGCTAATGGTAATGAACCCCTGAATTAGTGGACTGAAGGGTGCATTCCATCAAATGGTTTTGTTTCTGCGAGCGAGCTTATTAATATTTTGTGATCCGACAGGAATTTTACAATAACACAGTCCATAACCAGGAGGGATCTTAGAAATATTTCTATAAATCCTGAATTTGGGACTGATACATGTTATTTCCAAATTCCAGTTTGGGGTATAAATTCTTTCACAAAAAAACCCAAATTGTGGGCCTATTTTGGATAGATGTGGGTGGCTACATTTAAAAATGAGCGCTTAGTTTTACTGCTATTTTAGGGGTATCTTCCTTGAAAGGCAAATAAAAATTTTTTTAAGGCTAACCCCCGTGAAATTGAAATGAAAAGTGATCTTCTGGCCATAATTTTGAATTTCCAGTGAAAAAACCGAGGCTAACCTCTTCACGAGAGTCAACTGGTGGTGCTATTTCGGTCTGATTTTGCACTGTTTTCTATGGGCGCGTATTTGGTGCAGTGCAGCATGTAAAGACAAAAAAGCGGTGCCCATGGCAACAGACCAAAGGGGTGCGCCCTGTTCTTTCTTTTAGTGCTTTTTTACTTACGGGCGGAGAAATGAGCAGTTTTGTCTTTAGAAGTTGTCAAAACAGTAACGATTATACCCAAAGATAAGGGGAATGTGCGCCATGTCTCTCAGAGGGACTTATTGACTATTCTGTCTGATAATACATTGTAACTGGAAGAGGGCCTGAAATTCCACAATTTTTTTCTTCCAAAAAAAAACTGCCCCCAGACGCCTGGGAAACAGAAATTAGAAAGGTTCAATCAACTATTCCGTCTGCTCATCCTCTTTCTGGTAGGTTTTCTTTTCTGTGTCCTGCAGTTTTGCAGAAGATGTTTGATTTCTCCGTTTGTTTACATAATAAAATTGCCATCATTGTGCACAAAACAGTTCTGCATTCAGAGGCAACAGACAAACTGTATTATCCTTCTTCAGTAAAACAAGAAAGCGGATTCAATTTTTGGAATTGGTTTCTGTATTTCGTATAGATTTTCTTCGCTTTGATCCATTTTTACTGTGAAACCGGCCCCCGAGGTGGTATTAAAGGGTGCATTCCACCAAATCAAATGGTTGTATTTCTGCGAGCGAGCTCATTAATATTTTGTGATCCCACAGGATTTTTACAATAAGACATGCCATAGTCAGGAGGCATCACAGAAATATTTCTATAAATCCTGAATTTGGGAGTGACAGTTTTCAGTTCGGGTATTTCTTTCATAAAGATCCCCAAATTGTGGGCCTATTTTGGATAGAGGCAGGCACCTACATTCAAAAATGAGTTCTTAGTTTTAGTTCCTTCTGCTGCTTGGGACGGTATCTTTCTTGAAAGCCAAATAAAAAAAATTGTTTCGTAGCTAACCCCCGTGATATTGAAACGAAAAGTGATCTTCTGGCCTGTCTGGTCATAATCTTGAATTTCCAGTACAAAATGAAGGCCAACCTCTTCACGAAAGTCAACAGGCGGTGCTATTTCGGTCCGATTTTGCATTTGGAGCAGTGTAACCTTAAGAAGTTCTTACCATCTGTCTCTTATCTGTCGCCATCAAGAGACAGATTGCAAGAGAGCCACTACGTCCTAGCCCTACGTTCCCTGTCTCGACTACAATCCATCAGTTTCCGACACTTTCACCTGACTAACTTGAGAAAACAGTCATAATAACCAAAAAAAGGTTACCCAGTACTGTAACTGTTGCACTCATTCCGCCGTCTCTTCCGGGAAGTTTGACTTAACGATAAAACTAACCCACACCTGCGTAGACGGTATAATAG